GATAGCTTTTAGATGCGCAGCTCCGCTAACTTGGAACAGTCTGAGCAATTTGGTTCCACTAAATGTTTTTAAAGCAAGGATAGATACTATCCAATCGGAAACTGTTGGAACCTGTAAATGTTACTAGCTATGTAAACTGTAGTCACTGTAAATATGCTGTATGATGTCCTTTTTTGTTTTTCTGTTATGTTTATATGTATTCATGTGGAACCTACTTGCAGCAGGTCACCCTTGAAAAAGAGATCAATGATCTCAATGGGATTCACCTGCATAAATAAAGGTTTGAAATGAAATGAAAGATTTTTTTTATCAGAACATGCATTTCTCCTCATTGTGAACATATATTGCACTCATGTTCAGAATATATGGTACGTACATGGTCTTTTATAAATCTAAATATATAGTGCATACATGTCCCCATATAATTGTGAATATATAGCGCATACATGTCCCCATATAATTGTGAATATATATAGTACATGTCCCCATATAATTGTGAATATATTCTACATACATGTCCCCATATAAATCTGAATATATAGTACATACATGTCCCCATATATTTGTGAATATATATAGTACATGTCCCCATATAATTGTGAATATATATTACATACATGTCCCCATATAAATGTTAATATATAGTAAATGTATGTTCACATATATACACAACCAATATATTATATATATTTACATATATTACTCAATATATGGAAAGCGACAATTACTGATGTATTATCCCATATATTACAATATATTAACACAATATATTATTCTATATATCAATATATTGTAATATATTAACACAATATATTATTCTATATATCTTCAATATATTTTGTAGATATGAATAAATATGTTTTTCATGTTGATTATTAATCAGTATCAGTTGGTGTAGCCAACAGCAAGATTTCCTTTATTAAATCTTTTCAATTAACCAGTAAATCAGAAAACAAAATAATGCAATATATTGACAGTTAAAATATGGGGAAATATATTTTCTTTGCGTAAGGGATACACTCCATAACCCTAACCCTAACCCTAACCCTACTGTTTATTTGTAGATATCTCCTAAAGCCTACAAATAAAGTGTGAAATGTAGGCCTGTTACATATATTATTGAGCGATATATATTATACACACTGTTCTGCTTTCTGCACTGACCTCAGCAGCTGTTCTCACTGTAAACATCGCGTCACAATGAAAGCAGTTGTATTAAACAAATAGCCTAACATCCAGGGGAGATGTGATTAGTCAGTAAACAAATGGTAAAGGCCAGAAAGTCTGATGCACATTTGATCATCTTAAATAACTTATAATCACAACGGGAACAGTTTGCAGAGCTGTGCTTCGTTGACATAAGTCCAGCATGCGCCACTTCTCTTTTAAACATCACTGTTGGCTGAAATCGACTCCGGAGAATACATCAGTGTACCCTCGGTTATAGCCCCTCCAAAGAGACTCCTCTTTCCTCTAAATCAGTGTATCCTCGGTTACGGCTCCTCCAGACAGCCTCCTCGATAATCGATCCTTGACGAGCCTTTAGAGACATTTGTTTTCCTTCGAGACGGTGCGCCGACATCCGTTTCCGGGCCGCTGCCGGAGGAGCTGGGAGTCTGGGACGCAAAAATTAGAGAAATGACAAACTGCTAATTTCCGAGGACTCACGCGCGTCTGCTTGACGCCGGGACGACCGGCCGCCCTCCCCGACAGGCGCACGGACGCGAGGGCCGCTCATCACTACGCGCACTTCTGCGACCGCAGTTTTAATTTAGTTTGTTTGTCTGAACACCTTGTTTCTCTTGTGCATTAAGAACACTTGTGTTAGGGCATGATTTAACAATAAATAGGTTATATATACAGTATAAAATACCACATACTGTCCGCCCTCCCATGCCACCCTGGCATGACCTCTTGCCCACCCTTTGCCACCCCATGTAAAATGTTCTAGAACCGCCACTGATCCCCGAAGGTAACACACTGACAAGTAGGAAGATTTCACTGGAGAAAAGTCTCCTCTACAAAGAAACCAGAACTACTGATAAAAACCTATTTAAGATAAATTCAAAAGTGAGTTTCTCCATGGAAACTGTGCTGAGGGGCTAACGATAGCTTAGCTTGCCTCTCTGTTAAAGGGCCCATGTCATGCTTTTCCGGTTATTACCCGTCCCCTTGTGTGTTATGAAGGTTTTTATGCATGTTAACGGTGTGCAGAGTCAAAACCCTCAAAGTACATCCTGTAGCGAGTAAAACTCTAACACAGAAAATACCTCCCCAAAACGCCTCGTTGGAGATACGTCACTGCCCATTTGAGTCTTCCATTTAGTTCCGGGTACGGCATGATGTCATGCGGTACCCGGAACAAAATGGACCAATTCGGAAGAGCTATGGCCACACCCAGCGGCGCTGGCCGCACCCTCTGCCAGCCTAACATTTTCCAAAACATTGCCCAGTTTGAGGCCGGATATGCACAGCATTTGAAACTGAAGGACGATGCTATTCCTAGTTTGTTTGGACCGTTTGGAGCAGGGGAAGATTCGGGTACACAACCTGTAAGTTTGCATTGTTATTTGTGTATTTATCAAACAAGGTATCTACCACGACTGTTTAAATGTGTAAACGTGTGTCGGACTGCAAGCGTTTCCATATATCAACTCTAATATCAGCAGATATGGCCTTACATACATGTATCTCATAGCAGGAGAATGTCTGCATTCACACACAAAATACTCATAGACAGTATACTACTACGTTCAGTACATTACAGTTGGCTTTCCTCCGACGCTGATAGCATGTATAGCTAACGAGGCTAGCTATACATGCTAGCGGGAAACATTGTATTCATGCCAGTTACAATGAATGACCGAACGTAGCAGACTACCCGTGTAAGATTGCAATTATAAACACGTTATTGCTAGCCTAATATGAACCACTAGCTTTTGTTCATAGTAGTTTTATTACACTCCATTATAGTTGCCGTTCCTCCGAGCTACCGTTCATATCGTGTTAGCTACCAAGGTAAACAAGAAAGCTAGGTTAGCATATTAGCTGGCAAGCTTACTGTGTTGATTAGATAGATGGATTAGATAGATCCACACTCCTACCACAACTACTACTAACGAATCTAAAACAACTAAGTTTCTCTAATATTTTGTGATTTGCATTTGATTTCGTCCAGCCAGATCCTGGCGGACAATACATGACTGGACGACCACACTGAGGCATCGTCCTAAAAAGCCCCGGCTGCTATAGGCAAGATGCCGACAACGGGGAGGAATGGATGATATACCGTGTATATATGTATATTTATTAGGGCTGTCAAGTTAACGCGTTAATAACGCGTTAACGCAAAAAAAAATTAACGCCACTAATTATTTTAACGCGATTAACGCATGTGTATTTTTTGTCCTCGGCCGCCCCGTAGTTTCAGAGCGCATCGAGTGTAAAATACCATCGACAAGCTGATGCTGACAGCCCCGCTCCTGCTGCCCGCTTGTGGCAGACCACACTTCCACGCTCACCGGCAGGCCCGGACTGGCCATCGGGAGGACCGGGAGGGAGTGTGTATGTGTGGCGCGACTCGCGCGAGCGAGGCACACCTACGTGTTGTTGTTAGCATCTGGTGCTAGCTAGCTGCGCTAACGGATATAAGGAGCTGTTTCAATGACATTTCGCCGACAACTGCGCCGAGCACTTGACTTTATGCAGGTAGCCAGACAGTGGGACATTGTACGAAAAGTCAGCGCAACATTATTGCAGCGTCCAGGCAGCTCCCATTCGAGCATATATGCCTTGAGCTGCACATAGCTCAACGATCCATCACAGTGTCTCCACACACACACACACACACACACACACACACACACACACACACACACACACACACACACACACACACACACACACACACACACACACACACAGTATTATTGTATGAGAGAGGTTCCAGGTTGAATTGAGGCGAATATTTGTAATGTTCAGGTTGTTGTGTTTAATATTCATGAGAATATTTGTCATTGTTCAAATGATAATAAACAAACATATAAAGCATATTTGTCCACTCATATGTTGATAAGAGTATTAAAAACTTGAAAGATATCCCTCTAAGGTACATTTAGAACAGATAAAAAATGTGCGATTAATTTGCGATTAATCGCGATTAACTATGGACTATCATGCGATTAATCGCGATTAAATATTTTAATCGACTGACAGCCCTAATATTTATGTTCATTTTGTACATTTCTAAAAATAAAGTTTGATGGAAATACTTAGTAGGCCTATCCTTTCTTCCCTGAATGATTTGCTCCTATAACATATCATTCATATATAGCAAACCATGATTTGATTTCTCATCAAACAGTAGTAGTTTATTACAGGTAAAAATAACGTACTCTTCTATAACAACAGTTGTAGGTACAGTTTGGTTAGTTAGCGTATAAAATATACGGCTGTACCGAGGCCATTATAAGACTGATGTTCCGAGAGCGAGCCGAAAAAAGCACTGTTAGACATGGGCGGAGCCTCTCTGGTGGTTGACTAATCAGAACAGAGTGGCCGAGCTGACCAATCGGAGCACACTAGGCTCACAGGGAGGGGGGGGCAAGAGCTCCAACGAGTCGTTTAGTGGAGAGAGTGAATACTGCTGAATACACATGCTTGACAGAGATGCTGTATGCGAAACCAATGTGAGTTTGGAAAATTGCACAATATAAATCTATTTTAGTATACCTCAACAATGTAATTATGATCAGTGGAAATGGCCATGACATGGGCCCTTTAACTTCAGATCCAGACGACAAAGGACTCAAATCCTTCAACCGGTTAAAATATAGAGTTAAAAAGCAGCAAGATTTAAAATGTTATAATAAAAACGTGGCTCTAAACTCTAAAAATAATTCATTTATAACAGCTACTCATGCTCAAAGGGGATACGGCACCGTCACAGGAGACCAGAGTAGTTAAGAAATCAATCCTTAAAGAATAAACGAAACAGGATATTGTTTTAATATTATAGTTTTTTAATTACATCAAATATGAAAAACACATCCAGGGTTTTCTGATCTCACAACTGGAAGAAAACACTCACAACTGTTGATGCTTAATTCACGGTTGTGTTGGCAGCGAGTCATTCAGGGTGCCAAACATAAGGCATGTTCTGATTACACAGACATCTTTGTATTTATTGAGCCTCTTGTATTGAGTGGTAAACAATGTGCACTCATCAATAAATCATTTATTTATTTACTTATTAAATGTACTGGATGAAGTGTAGGACGTATTTCTTTCTCTGATTGTTCTCACTGAAACTGAGGATGATCATTGAAGCTAGTTTTGAAACAAATGCATTAAATAAACTGGAGATGATGTTTTATAGTTGCAGGTGGAGGCTTGCTGCTGTTCTCCGCTGGAGGAGGAGGAATGTTTTCAGGGGGAAAAGCATCATGGGATGGATTTCAATCTGGACCAGCATTAATGTACATGTTGAAACACTCTACCGTTATTATAAGGTGTGCATTTGCAGAGATTCTGCACCATTTAATACACGTTTCCTCCGCCTCTGATAAACTTTATCCCGGACAAATGTAATCATCAAACAAAAACATTACAAAAGAATCTCAATCAGTGTGGACAAGGTTCTGTTGAAATGTCCGGCGTGTTAATTACTAACGCTAAAATCATCTCTGAAGATCGGGTCGTCCTTGTAGAGCCAGGGGTCATGTTATAAGTGTGTGTGTGTGTGTCACTGCTCGCTCTGCTGTGTGTCTGTGATGGTGGAGACGGCTCCTTGTCCTTTGCTGACGTCACTGATGCAGGCCCACTGCCCGTCCATCGACTCCTTCCACAGCGTCACCTGCAGCACAGAAACACACACACATTAATATATGAAGAGACGTGTGTGTGTGTGTGTGTGTGTGTGTGTGTGTGTGTGTGTTCATCTACAGCAGTCAGATATTTGGGTAATTCAGTGTTCCTATCGATCAGAGAGCTATGTGTTACTCTATTATTATTACCTGGGAACGGGGGGTTAGTATTGTCTATATTTGTGTCATGTTTTTGGTTTGTGCAGCATTTTGTGTATGAAAAGTGCTGTATAAATAAAGTTGTATCTGCTTTGATGAGCTGAAATGTAAATAGTAAATGTACTTAATGAAATGTGTCTATACATGAATGTGTTTGTATGCTAGTAAATGCAAAAGTGGATATGAATGAGAACATAGTGTTGACAGTTATACTTGTCAGATTTAAATATCATATATATATTGTAATTTATTGTTGTTTTTCACGGGGAAACAAACATGGCACAGTTCCAGTTGCTTTCACCTGGATAAAAGGAAGTGTATATATATATATATATATATATATATATATATATATATATATATATATATATATATATATATATATATATATATATATATATATATATATATATATATATATAACTGTGTATATTGTACCTTGTTGTCTCCTCCTGAAACAGCCAGGATGTTTCCGGTTATGGACCAGCTGACGTGCCAAACCACATCGTTGAACTTGTGGAGGAGTTTAGCCGTCCAGGTGTTTCCAGCCGGGTCGTCACACGTCCAGATGAACACGCGTCCGTCCTGAAGAAGGGCAGAGGGAACAAATATCTTAACAAAATGTATTCCCACTGAACTCTGTGTGAAGCAGTCAGAGTTTTTATTATTATTCAGCTGCTAATAAAACGTTTTCTTCTCTGACCAGCGTTGGAAGAAGTACCCGGATCCTCAACTTGAGCAAAATTATAAATAATATTGTCTTAAAATAGTTAAATACTGAAATAAAAATGTACTTTATTTATCAAAAGCTTTCATAATGCAGAATGGCTCCTTCTTCACCGTTATTTTATTATATTATTGTATTTTTGATCAGAAACGAATGCTTATAAACATTTAAATGATGTAGTTCGTCAATGTCAAACATATTTAGGATTTCTTGCCTACTACTGGGTAGATAAGTAGTTTAGAACTGCAATATATCAAACTGTATGACCATATTATTATTATCTTTTTATGTATATAACTTGATGTCAGAAAACAGTATAAGAGTAAAAGGTACATTATTTGAGGAACTGTCGAAATGGCGAACGCAGATAAAGTTGAGCTGGAAAATCCTCCAGCATCATTGAAGTCTCCGGTTTGGGAACATTTCGGTTTTGCAGTTACGTACAAGGATGACGGAGAGAGACAGGTGGACCGAACCAAAGCTGTTTGTCGGCATTGTTCAACTGAAATTGGTTACGCGGCTGGCAATACATCAAACTTGCATACTCATTTGAAAAGGCATCACCTGAACGTGAATATCACCGGTACCAAAAGAAAAAAGACTGAAGTGCAAACCCAACTCCCACTAGCATTTAAGCCTCCAACACTCGCAACAAGTTCAGACCGAGCCAAAGCTATTACAAACGCCATATCCTTATGTTGCCATGTTAGCAAAGCGCTACCTGGCTGTATCTGCTACCTCTGTCCCTAGCGAGAGGGTGTTCTCCACAGCAGGAGACATTGTTAGTGCCAGCAGATCTGCCCTTTCGGCAAGCAATGTGGACAAGTTCATCTTTCTTAAAAAAAACATGAAAATACAATGACAAGCAAGTCCTAATGTCAAGCTGGCTGCTTATAGGTACTACAGTACAGTTCAAGTACAGATTATTTCAGTTCATCGAAATGCTGCACCTTAATGTTTATTTTATTATATTTTGTATTTATTTGAGTGAATACATTATTCACAGTTTAATAATAATAAAAAAATATATATATATATTTTATGTTTTGTGATCATTTTTCTGCTGTACCAAAAACGTACCGAACCGTGACCTAAAAACCGAGGTTCGTACCGAACCGAAATGTTTGTGAACCGTTACACCCCTACATCCTACCTCCATAACAGTGAACAGTTTGTTACCATCAATGGCTCAAATTCACCCCCGTCCCCAGTCCATCACGGTGTACCCCAGGGCTCTGTGCTTGGCCCCCTCCTGTTCACCATTTACATGCTCCCCCTCGGCCAGATCATCCGCCATCATGGACTCAATTTCCACTGTTACGCTGATGATACCCAACTGTATCTCAGCACCACTCCATCCTCCCAGCTCCCCCCTCAGTCTCTCGTCAACTTCCTGCACGACATAAAAACCTGGATGTCGTCTAAGTATCTCAAACTAAACAGCAGGAAAACAGAGCTCATGGTTGTGGCACCCAAGGCGCTGGAGACTTCATCCTCGAGGTTGATGGCTGCTCCATCTCCCCATCTCCTGAAGCCCGCAACCTGGGTGTCATCCTCAACTCCACCCTTTCCTTCCACTCCCACGTCAAGTCTGTCACCAAATCTGCCTTTTTCCATCTAAAGAACATTGCCAGACTCCGACCGTCACTCTCGGAGTCGGTTGCAGAAACCCTAGTCCATGCTTTGGTCACCTCCGGCTTGGACTACTGCAATGGTGTCCTGTTTGGTGTCCCCAACAAAACCCTGGACAGGCTCCAGTATGTCCAAAACTGTGCTGCTAGGGTACTCACACATACAAAGCCGTGGCAGCACATCACTCCCACCCTCATCCACCTCCCCTGGCTGCCGGTCAAGTCCCGCAGAGCATACAAAGTCCTCCTCCTCACCTACAAGTCCCTCCATGCCCCCCAGTACTTATCGGACATCCTTCGCCCACATGCCCCACCCCGGAACCTGCGGTCCTCAGACTCTGGCCTGCTTACCACCCCCCCGCACCAAACTGCGAACCTTCGGAGACAGAGTCTTCAGTGTGGCAGCCCCCACCCTCTGGAACGCTCTCCCTGCGGAGATCCGCAACATCCCCACACTCGACGCCTTCAAAAGGGCCCTCAAGTCCCATCTGTTTACTAAGGCCTTTGGCCCCTAATCTATTTGTTGTTTTGTCTGTTTGTCTGACTGCCTTTTGTTTTTGTTATGTTTGTTTCTACTCCTGTTCTTCTTTGTAAAGCGACCTTGGGTCTCATGAAAGGCGCTATATAAATCCAAGCTATTATTATTATTATTATTATAACTGTGCAGTATATGCCTGGCTGCTACATCTTCAGAACTGTTACAGATGTGTATTTTGTCACTTATTGTAAGTCGCTTTGGATAAAAGCGTCAGCTAAATGTAATGTAATGTAATAATGTCAATTGTGTAATTTTCTTACTTTTTTTGAATCTTTCAAATTATTGAATGCATGCTTTTTTAAGCTGTCTTTGGCTCTTTTCTGCTGTAACAATGTACATTTCCCCTGTGTTGGACGAATAAAGGTATTCCGATTCTGATGGTCAACTTCTATATCTTCACTCATTTAGTTCTGTTTTATCTGCTATTTTCAGATGCTTATATTGTATAATTGTTTACTTTCCACTCTGTTTTATTTCTAATTACGTGCAGTACTTGTTTTACATGCTGCTGGGATAAATAAAGTGTTTCTTATGTCATTTTATCTGTAATAACTGACCTGGGAGCAGCTGGCGATGGTGCTGGTGGGCAGCCCGATGGACGGAGCCCAGCCGACGTCTCTCACCCAATCACTGTGAGCCTCCAGCTTCTGGTCCTCCTTCCACTGACCGTCCTCCTCTCTGCAGACACAGGAAACCACCAGGGACACGTTAAGGTACAAACTACTGAGCCTCTACTTGAAAAATACTCAGGATTGATATTTAAAGGTCCCCTATTATACTGTTTTTCTTCAATATATCACAGGTCTCAGATCTATACAGAACATGTCTCTAAAGTGTTTGGCTCCAAACACCAAACAGATCATTGCAGCATTACCCATAATCCCCTCTGTTTCAGCCCTGTTTCCAAAGTGCTGATTCTCTGTCTGTTACTTTAGATGAAAATAAGGAGCCCCTTCCCACGCCCCCCTGAGAGAGATTTGGTTACAAAGAACTCAATGGTGCTCTAGGAGGAGATTCAGGTGATAAGGGGGGGGGGGGGGGGGGGGGGGGGGGGTTACCTTGGTTGCTGATTGGCTAATGGTTACACAAGCCAAAACATCGTTATGACATCATAAAGTGGCCAAAATCTGATCAGCTCATTTTCAGACAGGTTTTTATAGAAATGGATCAAAAAGAGAGAGAATCTTTGTTCCTGAAACTTTCAGAGTCTCTTTCCACAGAGGGGACACATGTTGATGAAGAGGAGACATGAAGAAGAGGGGACACATGTTGATGAAGAAGAGACATGAAGAAGAGGGGACACATGTTGATGAAGAAGAGACATGAAGAAGAGGGGACACATGTTGATGAAGAAGAGACATGAAGAAGAGGGGACACATGTTGATGTAGAAGAGACATGAAGAAGAGGGGACACATGTTGATGAAGAAGAGACATGAAGAAGAGGGGACACATGTTGATGTAGAAGAGACATGAAGAAGAGGGGACACATGTTGATGTAGAAGAGACATGAAGAAGAGGGGACCCATGTTGATGTAGAAGAGACATGAAGAAGAGGGGACACATGTTGATGTAGAAGAGACATGAAGAAGAGGGGACCCATGTTGATGTAGAAGAGACATGAAGAAGAGGGGACACATGTTGATGTAGAAGAGACATGAAGAAGAGGGGACACATGTTGATGTAGAGGAGACATGAAGAAGAGGGGACTCATGTTGATGTAGAAGAGACATGAAGAAGAGGGGACACATGTTGATGTAGAAGAGACATGAAGAAGAGGGGACCCATGTTGATGAAGAAGAGACATGAAGAAGAGGGGACACATGTTGATGAAGAAGAGACATGAAGAAGAGGGGACACATGTTGATGTAGAAGAGACATGAAGAAGAGGGGACACATGTTGATGTAGAGGAGACATGAAGAAGAGGGGACTCATGTTGATGTAGAAGAGACATGAAGAAGAGGGGACACATGTTGATGTAGAAGAGACATGAAGAAGAGGGGACCCATGTTGATGAAGAAGAGACATGAAGAAGAGGGGACACATGTTGATGAAGAAGAGACATGAAGAAGAGGGGACACATGTTGATGTAGAAGAGACATGAAGAAGAGGGGACACATGTTGATGTAGAAGAGACATGAAGAAGAGGGGACACATGTTGATGTAGAAGAGACATGAAGAAGAGGGGACACATGTTGATGTAGAAGAGACATGAAGAAGAGGGGACACATGTTGATGTAGAAGAGACGTGAAGAAGAGGGGACACATGTTGATGTAGAAGAGACGTGAAGAAGAGGGGACACATGTTGATGTAGAAGAGACGTGAAGAAGAGGGGACACATGTTGATGTAGAAGAGACGTGAAGAAGAGGGGACACATGTTGATGTAGAAGAGACATGAAGAAGAGGGGACTCATGTTGATGTAGAAGAGACATGAAGAAGAGGGGACACATGTTGATGTAGAAGAGACATGAAGAAGAGGGGACACATGTTGATGTAGAAGAGACATGAAGAAGAGGGGACCCATGTTGATGAAGAAGAGACATGAAGAAGAGGGGACACATGTTGATGAAGAAGAGACATGAAGAAGAGGGGACACATGTTGATGTAGAAGAGACATGAAGAAGAGGGGACACATGTTGATGTAGAAGAGACATGAAGAAGAGGGGACACATGTTGATGTAGAAGAGACATGAAGAAGAGGGGACACATGTTGATGTAGAAGAGACATGAAGAAGAGGGGACACATGTTGATGTAGAAGAGACATGAAGAAGAGGGGACACATGTTGATGTAGAAGAGACATGAAGAAGAGGGGACACATGTTGATGTAGAAGAGACATAAAGAAGAGGGGACACATGTTGATGTAGAAGAGACATGAAGAAGAGGGGACACATGTTGATGTAGAAGAGACATGAAGAAGAGGGGACACATGTTGATGTAGAAGAGACATGAAGAAGAGGGGACACATGTTGATGTAGAAGAGACGTGAAGAAGAGGGGACACATGTTGATGTAGAAGAGACGTGAAGAAGAGGGGACACATGTTGATGTAGAAGAGACGTGAAGAAGAGGGGACACATGTTGATGTAGAAGAGACATGAAGAAGAGGGGACACATGTTGATGTAGAAGAGACATGAAGAAGAGGGGACACATGTTGATGTAGAAGAGACATGAAGAAGAGGGGACACATGTTGATGTAGAAGAGACGTGAAGAAGAGGGGACACATGTTGATGTAGAAGAGACGTGAAGAAGAGGGGACACATGTTGATGTAGAAGAGACGTGAAGAAGAGGGGACACATGTTGATGTAGAAGAGACATGAAGAAGAGGGGACACATGTTGATGTAGAAGAGACATGAAGAAGAGGGGACACATGTTGATGAAGAAGAGACATGAAGAAGAGGGGACACATGTTGATGAAGAAGAGACATGAAGAAGAGGGGACACATGTTGATGAAGAAGAGACATGAAGAAGAGGGGACACATGTTGATGTAGAAGAGACATGAAGAAGAGGGGATACATGTTGATGTAGAAGAGACATGAAGAAGAGGGGACACATGTTGATGTAGAAGAGACATGAAGAAGAGGGGACACATGTTGATGTAGAAGAGACATGAAGAAGAGGGGACACATGTTGATGTAGAAGAGACATGAAGAAGAGGGGACACATGTTGATGTAGAATAGACATGAAGAAGAGGGGACACATGTTGATGTAGAAGAGACATGAAGAAGAGGGGACACATGTTGATGTAGAAGAGACATGAAGAAGAGGGGACACATGTTGATGAAGAAGAGACATGAAGAAGAGGGGACACATGGTGATGTAGAAGAGACATGAAGAAGAGGGGACACATGTTGATGTAGAAGAGACATGAAGAAGAGGGGACACATGTTGATGTAGAAGAGACATGAAGAAGAGGGGACACATGGTGATGTAGAAGAGACATGAAGAAGAGGGGACACATGGTGATGTAGAAGAGACATGAAGAAGAGGGGACACATGTTGATGTAGAAGAGACATGAAGAAGAGGGGACACATGGTGATGTAGAAGAGACATGAAGAAGAGGGGACACATGTTGATGTAGAAGAGACATGAAGAAGAGGGGACACATGTTGATGTAGAAGAGACATGAAGAAGTGGATTTTGCATAATAGGGGACCTTTAAAACCAAAAGGAACTAGGGCCATGTATTTGTTTATTATGTGCATTAGTTGTCCTTAATGCAAAACAAACATTGAAATAAAGAAATACTGTATATATTGAATAAAAAGGACATGAATACATCTTAATTTAAGAACAGGATCAAAGGTCAGTCTTGGACAATTAATTTCTACTTTTATCTTAGTGATATGCACAGTTTTCTGTATAAATGTTTTGACCGTCTATGTTACTTGTAGTTATTGAATTAGCTCTTTTTACTGCACTGTTAATGTACAGTTTTATTATTATTATGCTGCTGTGTTTATTGCATCGTTGTTACTCTGGCACAACAATTTCCTTCTGGATAAATAAAGTCTTACCTTATCTTATACACATATGAAATGAGAATTATTGGAGGGAGCCTGAGTTTAAAGATTTGTATTTTCATTAGCCAACAACTGCTGTAAATGCAAATGACACTTAATGCAACTACATAGAAAGCATTAAATGGCACAAAGTCTGTAAAACCACAATTTGTATACATATTTTTAAATACATCACATTACATTACATGTCACTTGTTAGACGCTTTTATCCAAAGCGACTTACATACCTCAATACTGTGGACAATCCCCACAGGAGCAATTTGGGGTGAAGTGTCTCAGGGACACAACGACATGCTGACTGCAGTGGGGTTTGATCAGAACACCAACGCATAACCCACTGCACCACACGCCTCCTTCTATATATATATATATATATATATATATATATATATATATATATATATATATATATATATATATATATATATATATATAATATATATATAATATATATATAATATATATATATATTTGTATTTTTGTATTCGGGATTGTGGCAAACGGTATTTCGATCTCTCTGTCTGTACACACAAACTGAAGGATTGACAATAAAGTTGACTTTGAACTTACTTCCAGAGTTTGACGAGGTTGTCGCAGCCTCCGGAGACGAAGCGTTTGACGTAGTTTGGTTTCTGTCCCGACGGCTGATCGATCAAACTGCCAGGAACCACAGCCGGAGCCCAGCTCACCGCGTTACAGCCGATCTGAAGCAGAACGATAACACTCCGTTAATAGAGAGAAATAACTGTGAAAATCAGCCTCTAAGAAACAACATGACTGAGAAAGGAAGTGGATGCCAAAGTAGAGTTTTTAAGAAAAGCCTCAAGACCCACCTGTTCCACACCGCATTTTACTGACTGTCCTTTATTTTATATTCTAACCTTTTATGATCTTAACCTTTTTTATATTACCATATTTTATTCAATATGCTCCTTAGATAACTTTTTATTTCATTTGTTTTATTATTTTCACTTTCTAGCATTGTGAAGCACCTTGAGATGACGTGGTTTTTAAAGTGTGCTATATAAATGAAAATGTATTATTATTAGATGTAGAATAATAAAGACAGCATTTAATCCCCCATATTAAAGGTAGGGTAGGTAAGTTTGAGAAACCGGCTCGAGATACACTTTTTGTTATATTCCATGGAATGCTCTTAACATCCCGATAGCAATGAATATCTGAAGTGCTTTGACAAAAAATCCATAATAAAATATCATCTGTGGAAGCCGTGGTACTGTAAAAAGCACGACCAATCATCTGAGCCGGCCCGGCTAAAATAACTGGATGGCCTACCTGCCTGTCAGCCTTCCATCTGTGCACAAACTTATCTGGTGCCCTCATTGGTCATGTGCACGTTCGTGTGTGTTGGAGGAGGGGCTCTGGAAGGAAGTGGCAGATTTTCTCCGGCTGTGTATTTTCAAATTCTAGCGCACTCGAGCTGGTTTCTCCAAAATGACCTACCCCACCTTTAATGGAAATTAAACAGAATAGAGCAGCGGATCCAAGCTTTTTCAACTCAGGAATCCACGTAAGAATCAAAAAAAATTTCGTGGCCCACATTCAACCATAAACAATACGGAGGCTAAATAAAGTTCTGAATTCAGAACATGTGACACGTTGTTAATCCAGTAGAACAAACCGCTGTCAAGAGGCGCGTTCACACCGGAGTACTTTTCCCCGTACTTTTAGCGTTTAGTTCCGTTAGTACCCCTTATGTCGCGTTCACACCAAAAAGAGTACTTCAAGCCGGGAACTTTTACCCCCATTTTTAGTGCCTGCTGAGAGATGGTACTTTCCTGGGGGAAAAAAGTGCCCCAGTTCTGATTGGCTGGGCGAATTGCAAACCACGCCCCGTACAACTCTGAAATGTTTTTGTAGAGCCGCCATTTTATTATCCTCGCATTAGCATTATTAGCATTAGCATTCGCCCAGCGCACAAATGCAGAGAGACTAACTTATGGCAACACAAAATAAAACATGGGAGCGGTGGAGATGAGGAGGTGTCGGCGTTCTGGCGATTTACTCTGAAGGCTTCAGTAGAAGCTGCTGGGAGTCCCAGCAGCTTCTACTGAAGCCTTCCCCAACTCCGGGGACTTCCAGCCGGGGACTCCGGGTGGCAGTATACGCCGTGAATTGGTTTGCGGCCTGCCAGTAAACCCAAAGCAGAAGAAGAAGAAGTGACGTCAGCGGCTCATTTGCGTAATCTTCCCTCAGGGAATTTATTCCGGTGTGAACGCGATCTGTTCTAAATGCCCTGGGGTCATAAGTGCCGGGGCACTGAGTGCAGCAAAGTACTTGGTGTGAACGCGGCTAATGACTGTAGATTCAAGATTCAAAGGTTGTATTGTATTTGCACAAAGCTACAGTGTAGAAATGGAAATGCAATCCTTCTGACCTGAGCTCCACCAACAATGCAACATATATGTGACCCTCTCTATCGAAATCAGTCGCAACGGCTCATTTCAAAATAAACGTGGATTTGCGTAAAAAAATAGTTTTTCAGGGTTCGGGTGTTTTGTTTGATTTTAAATAAACAAATTCTTGGCTTTCAGAATATGAAACTTTTATTTCCAAAATCACACGATAAATACATTTTTGCTTGTAAAGGGAAGATGACAGCTCTCACTCGCACTCTGCTGTTCCACAGCGCCGCACCCCCTCCCTCCGGCTGACATTATGAATGTAAGGCGTATAGTAATCATAGATAACACGGCAGGGTCCGTTACAGTTTGTTTTCATCTGATTTCAAATAAACAAAGTCTTGGCTTTCAGAATATTAAACTTGTTTCGGCAAATTCAGATGAGAAATACAGCTTTGAAGCTCGTAACGGCATAATTACAAGCGGAGAACGGAGTAACTTAACGTCACAGCAGGCATAACAACAGCCGGTGTTTCTCGTGAGTGTTTTCCCCGGGAAACAAACACAATACACACAAACGCAAAAATACACACACACACACACACATATATACACACACACACACACTCGCGAGCTTCCCCCAGACCAGTAATCCAAACGAAAATATCTTCCCTCCGTAGTATTTTGATCATTTGCTAATAATCGATCAGATCGATGGATTCCAGAGAAGAGGAAACTTTGAAGGCCTTTTTCTCAAAATGATGACTCGGTGACAGTCATTATATAATGTGACATATTTTGCTTAATATTTGGAGTACAACAACAATCCTGATATCATTAGAAAGCTAAGAATCTCCTCTTTCCAACAGTGTATTCAACTCAAAATGTGTCTTCGGGTCAATGCGACTGATTTCGAGGGAGCAGGTCACATATAATAAAATACAAAAATAAAAATAAAAAGTAGTGCAAAAAGTCTATATACATGTCAATAGAATATGGGATATGTACAAGAACAGAATATGAAATTAAATAATGTAAATTAAAAACAAATTAAATACGGTTATTGCGGTGATAACTATTTATATAAATTAGTAGATTGCAAGATTAAATGACCGTTGCTAAGGAGGATTAAGAAAGAGAAAGGAAAGAAAAAAACTCATCTTAATAATGAAATGTTTCCACACAAACCCTAATGTTTTGCAGATTATTTGGCGGCCCACAGGTTGGGAACCGCTGGAATTGAGTATTCAGAAGCGTCTCAAACTCACAGTGTGTGCGTTGCTGATCTTCTTGACGTCCCACTGCTGATCTCCGGTGAAAGTGAGGATAGAAATGGCTCCGTCCGAGCTGCCACAGGCCAGAATCAGACCGAAGTCATAGGGACCCCAACACACAGAGTTCACTGCAGAGACACAGAAGTACATGTATAAAAACATGACAAAGCCTCAAGACATCGTAGCTAACAATGCTATTTACACCCAGCTGTCTGAAGGTAACAATGCTATTTACACCCAGCTGTCTGTAGCTAACAATGCTATTTACACCCAGCTGTCTGAAGGTAACAATGCTATTTACACCCAGCTGTCTGAAGGCAACAATGCTATTTACACCCAGCTGTCTGAAGGTAACAATGCTATTTACACCCAGCTGTCTGAAGGTAACAATTAGGGCTGTGCAATTAATCGTATTTTAATCTCGAACTACGTTTTTGGCTTGCAACGATTAGGAAAACAAAGTTATTGAAATAAAACGAGCTACCCGGCTACCACCACAACTATATTTCAGATCTGTGTGAAACACTGCCGTGGGGAAGTTGAAAAAGATGTGGCTTCAGCTGAATACTTTGCCAAAATATTTGTTGATCTTCTTTATTGGTATTTATTATTTTTATATTATTTATTTAGATGTAGATGTATAATTTATTTATTTATTGGTTTTTCAGTTGAATTATACTTAAAGTTCAGGGTAATCAACTGTTAAAAAGATAGCACACTGTTCAAATTATTATTTTTATGTTTTTTAAAGATCAATAAATGGATGTTTTCAAAGTCAATGAATAATCGTATTTAATAATTGTGATATCAATATTGACAAAAATAATCGTGATGGGTGTCCGTAGCTAACAATGCTATTTACACCCGGGAGAAGTCACAAATAAAGAAATAAAAGTAAACAACTTGTACACAACACAATACGATCCCAGCAGAGCTACTGACCTGATGACTCGTGTCCGCAGTACTCGTGCATCTTGTCCCAGCTGCCGTTCTCCTCCTTCCAGATGATGACTTTACGGTCGTAGGAACAGGAAGCCAGGATGTTTCCGAACATGGGGTGAGCCCAGGCCACCTGCCACACCGGACCCTCGTGGCTGCACAGACACAGAGACGACACATTTAGTTTAAAATACTCAAAATATGCAATACAAGAATGCCAAGTGTGGGGGAAACTTCTGTAGCAATGGAGAGTCAGGACTCAAAGAGACACAAGGAGAGCTGGAGCTTTGATGGCAAACACTGACGGTTTATTTGGAGTTTCGGCCGGAGAATTCCCAAGATATGTCACGGGCCACGGTCTGACCACACGGTAGAGATGCCACAATCAATTCTGAAGACCCCTCCTGTAGCTCCAGGTTTGAACTAGTTCAGAGTGTAATAATCAACATTCTTCAATAGATAGACTAAGCAGCTGAGGACACTGAATCACATTTGTTGTCGCTTATGGCTCGGGGTCATCTACACCCCGAGAAGGATGTGTTCCAGGTGTCCCACAACAATGACTATCTCTGACCGAGAGTTGCCCGGTCACAAACTGGTAACAACAACAACTTGCTAGGGCAGCCCCTCCTTAAGGGAGATAGCGGCTGCAGTTGGGCATCTGCGTCAGAGGGCGAAGGGTAAACATGTATACAGAATTATCCCCTGACACCAAGAATGAAAGGGGGAGCTGAACTGTGATATCAGTGTTAAAGCCCGGGTAAAAAAGTAGTTTCCAAAATGAATCATGTAACAAAATTGGTGATTATTACAGGAGACAAACTCCCGAGCTAATTCAATAACTACAAGAAACATAGACGGTCAACAAATGTATATAAAAAACTGTGCATATCACTAAGATAAAAAGTAGAAATGAATCTTCCGAGACTGACCTTAGATCCTGTTTTTAGATTAAGATATATTCATGTATTTTTATTTAATATAAACAGTATTTATTTATTTAAATGTTTGTTTTGCATAGGACAGTGAATGCACATAATAAAACAAATACATGGCTCAAGTTCCTTCTGGTTTTAAATCTCCATCCAGAGTGTTTTTGAAGTAAAGGCTCACGAGTTTGTTTCTTATTACAGGAGACAAACTCCCGAAGAGAATAATAATGTACTACTTGTTATCGAGTGGCTGCAGTTATTGTGCAGTGTAAGGTTATGCAGTTTGTGTCTCTATGTGAAGGGAGGTGGTGGTAACGTGGAGTCTCACCCTCTGAGGTCAGCCACCAGGATCTGTCCTCCGTTTCTGACGTCGAACATCTTCACGGTGCGGTCCGAGGAGCAGGTGGCGAGGCGAGTCCCGTAGTAATCCATCTGGGCATCGTGCTGAAAGCAGAGAGAAAAAAAGACATCAACACCTGGAAAGAAATAATCAACCTTTTCTCTGAGATATCAAATATGAAGTGTAATTGGTTCTTTACCGTTATATAGGTCTACTTACTGTTCTGCAACCTGTCTACATCTCTGTGTATTACTACGTTGTTAACATTCAGAGCACAAAAATATGTTTAGTATATGTTTTATACAGTTTTCTATATGTTTTGAATGACTGCACTATTTACCCTTTAAACAATTCTATTTTTGTACTTGGTGGATTTTCTATTTAGCTATTAGTCGTTTGTCAGAAAATGATGTTGGTCTTTTAAGTCATTTTTTCATGCAAAGACAGGTCACGTTTCTAGCTTCATAAATGTGATTATTTGTCTCTTTCCTTTTTAATAATGTTATTGATTGTGATTAGTAATAACGGTGGTTTTTGGACTGTTAATTGGACAGACAAAAACAAACATTTTCACTTTTAGGCTCTGGGACACCGAGAGAGTGTTTCTCACTATTAACACTATTTTTAAATCAAATAATCAATCATTAATAGAGAACATAAAATACAGACCGATAGATAATGAAATGAATAATCATAGATAGTTAAACGTGAGCTCCTCCTCCACCAACTGCAACACATATACCCTACTTTCACAATAAAGCATGGGTAATAATTATCTAATGAAATAAACAGTACAACAGTCACAGGGGATATGTATGTACTAAAACTTTAAGTAGGGTACCTAAATACTTTTACTTAAGTTAGTTTTTCAATGCAATGTTTTACTTGGAGTAAAGGAGTGTAATAAATAGAGTATTCTTACAGTGTGGTAGTACATTTGTACTTTTTTAAGACGGGTTTTCCACAAAACATCTCTTTGTATTTCTACTGGTTTAAGAGTCATTAAAGTCCAAAAATGTTTTCATTATTTTTACAATACATGAAAACAAGTGTTTGAGCCAGGGTTTTCTGGAGGGAGTCAAATGGACCAATTAGTACCTTTCACTGCTAACAATGTATATTAGGCACATTATATTAGACATTTAGGTTTTGTTCACACACATATAAAGGGCCTTTAGGAAAGTATATGCCTGCAAACCACCATGCTACACTTAATACTTAAGTACTTACTTTAGTAGCTAGTACTGAAGTAAAGGATGTTAATACTTCCTCCACCTCTGTGTGTTAATATTAGCTTGTGATGATAGCTGTAGTACTTCTTCTAACACATGTGACATGAAAAGAAGCACGTATGTATTGCTATTTAAAGTAATTGATAAGATAGTAGATGCTAACATTAGCTCCACTAATCAGAGGATTGGGGTTAAATGAAAAAATAATGAAAACTTACGATCATATCCTCATGAGAGGTGTCCACCGTGTTGATAACGGAAACCTGAAATACACATTCAAGCAATAAATCTCACAGATATAACGATACACACTTTAGTTTAAGGATTAGCTGTCATTAGCCTAGCAAGCTAACAAGCTAACACGTCATCAACCAACGGTCACCGTTAAAACCACACAATGTAAACAAACAGCTTCTCCTGCAGCTTCAGTATGAAGTTACTTTACTCACCATGACTGCAGCTAAAGCAGGAAACTATCCAGGATATTATTGTATTTTATTCTAAATGAATAAACCCGGTTCTTCCGACGTGGCAACAAGAAGCCGCTTTCCACAGAGCAGGGTCACACACTGTTTCTACCGGCGGAAACACACACTCCGCCGAAGAAAGGTTCCGCATAACAGCATAACAGAGGTTAACGATATTATATGTATACAAATAAACATTACATCTGTCATTTATTCTTTCACTGTTTGTACTCTAAAATCTTTTGGTCTGATTTTGGGTGTTTTCTAAAATATTTGTTCTATATATATACATTTGTGATACACATAATCTATACTTTTTTTTTTTTAAACCCTGATGATGTCAATGTTTTGTGTGTATATAATATTCAATATACATATATGGTTTTTTAAATAAAGAATAAGAATAAAATAGTAAAAGAAAGACAAAGTATACAAATAAAAATTGAAATAAAGCATTACAAATGTTAAATAAATACCAACTTACCAATGCTTTTTACAAAATAACAAAACATTTACATATTAAGCAAAGAGGAAGAAGGGTAATCCAGATTGTCTGAATATTTACGCAATTATAAACTGTCAAAAATAACGTATAAAATGCGTTTTCTATGCGTAAATCTACCCTTTTAACTACAGCTAATTGGCAGGGCTCTGTTTATCCACCAGATGGCTCCATAAACCTCAAATAGTATTCTTCTTAGATCTATTTTTATCCTAAAGTGTCAGGTTCCCCCCGGTGTTACTTCACTCTGTCCCCTCCACTCCTCGCCATGTTGTCGGGTTAAATCTCAAATCTGTTGCACCAGTTTGCTCACTTTCCACGGACAATAAGTTCTCATACAGCCGCTGACAGCTGACAAAGTTCCAGGATGTCCAGCGTTTCCTACTATATCTCCAACCTGCTGGAGAAAATGACATCCACTGACAAAGACTTTAGGTAAGACAGAGTTAAAATGTGTGTGTGTGACAGTGAGATGACACTTTTCAGTCCTGGCTCATTATGAGTCTGTCATTTTATCTCATTTTTAACATGTAATATGGCTTTTTTAAGAGAGACAAAAGTAAATAACACTGGTAGTTTACTAACTTATAACTTATTTAAAAAGTAGCTCAATGTGTTTATAAGTTAGCTTGAAGTCCTAAAAAGTCCTCATTTGTGTAATCATACTGAATGTGTAGTAGGTAATAACTAATAATAAAAAAATACCAATATGTGAAATGTGTGTTGAGATGAGTTAGCTCAATCACAAATAAGTTCTCATTGTACTTTTATAATTTTGTATTGAATTAAAGTGTTTTGTTTTTCACAAGATAGACACCTGTAATCACAAATAAAGTTAACTAATATTATTAGAAGTGTGTCAATGTGTGTTGAGATGTAAATTGGTAGAAATAGTCCATTATTAGTAAAAGTCCTGCATTCAAAATCGGTCAAAAAGTCAATAGTCATTTTCAATATGAACTTATACTTTGCCTCTCCCCCCGAAAAAGTACCAAAAACTAGAACTACTCATTATGTAGAAACATTTCAGAATGATAAGCGTCAACAACAACATGACAACACATCAATTAAACTTCTCCTATTAAATATTGATGAGTAAGTCTTTCTTTGCTGCCTATGTGTTGATGAATATGGTCTCATAACGACATAAAATCTGACATTTTAAGTAGTTCATAATCATTAAGACAGGTCATTTTGTGTATGCATCTTCATACTCTTTGTGTGTGTGTGTGTGTGTGTGTGTGTGTGTGTGTGTGTGTGTGTGTGTCTCCAGGTTCATGGCCACCAATGACCTGATGCTTGAGCTTCAGAAGGACAGCATAAAGCTGGATGAAGACAGTGAGAGGAAAGTGGTGACGATGCTGCTCAAACTGCTGGAGGACAAGAACGGGGAGGTGCAGAACCTGGCAGTGAAATGGTAAAAACACAGAGGACGTAAACACTGTTCCCACCATGTAGACCGGTTTATACTCGCTAACTTCTGGTTTCAAACAAATCATAATTCTGAGAACATTTGGAAAATCTTTAAAAAAATTCTGAGTAAAGTCAAAATTCAGAATAAATGGAAATTCCGAGAATAATCTTTTTTTTTAAATCCCCCAAAAATCCTAAATTATATATATTTTTTTATTCTGAGAAAACGTCACAGTTCTGAAAAAAAAGAAAATTGGAAAAAGTTGGAATTCTGAAAATAGGGAAAAATTCTGAGAGAAAGTAGAAATTCTGAAAATAGCGAAAATTCTGAGAGAAAGTAGAAATTCTGAAAATAGTCAAAATTCTAAATAAATTCACAATTCTGACGGAATGGAAATTCTGGGAAAAGCCGAAATTCTGAAAAAATAAAAATTCGTAGAAAAAGTAAAAAATCTAAGAAAAAGTTGGAAATCTAAAAAAGTTGAAAATCAGAGAAAAAGTTGAAAATTTTTGGAACATCTGAAAAAATAAATCTGAAATAAATCACAATTCTGAGAACATTTTAAAAATCTTAGAAAAATTGAAATTCGGAGTAAAGTAAAAATTGCAAAATCTGAAAAAATATAGATAACGATTACAGTATTATGTGGGTGTGTTTCAGCCTGGCCCCTCTGGTGAGCAAAGTGAAGGAGCCTCAGGTGGAGGTGATGGTGGACACGCTCTGTTCCAACATGATGTCGGACAAAGAGCCGCTCAGAGACATTTCCAGCATGGGGCTGAAGACGGTGATCGCTGAGCTGCCGCTGACTTCCACAGGTCAGAGGTTAAATACTCACAGAAATATATATATATTCTTATTTTAGATAATGAGACAAGCGTCTTCTCAAGTTTCAAGGCTTTTATTGTCATGTGTGCATAGCTACAGTGTAGTTATGTCATGTTACAGTCTTATGGCCTGTGGGATGACACTGTCTCTGAGTCTGGTGGTTTCTAATGATCTTAATTTGCCATTTATTTGATCATAATCTAGTATCAAATAAAGTTTGATTTCTGTATTTATTGAAGGGGATAAAAAAACTATAAAATAGACTTGTTGTTTGGTTATTGTATACAATAACGTGTGTGTGTGTGTGTGTGTGTGTGTGTGTGTGTGTGTGTGTGTGTGTGTGTGTGTGTGTGTGTGTGTGTGTGTGTGTGTGTGTGTGTGTGTGTGTGTGTGTGTGTGTGTGTTCCCAGGTTTGACGCTGACAGTGGGTGTGTGTAAGAAGATCACCTCCCAGCTGATCGGAGCGATGGGGAAACAGGAAGACGTCTCCGTTCAGTTAGAGGCTCTGGACATCCTGTCAGACATGTTGGGAAGGTAACTGTGGAGGAAGTTCTTAAGAGGAAATGATTCATGGAGAAAGTTTGTCTTTTGTTATATTTAATAAAGTAATAAAGAAAGTCAAAATAAAAGTGAAACCGATCCCAAATGTTGGAACAGAGCTACGTCATCCTCAGAGGATAGAGAAGTTCAGAACACAGCTTACAGGCACATTATATAGTAGAGAGAAAATCCAACTGGTCTGGGCCTTAAATTCTCTCAGGCATCATCTAAACATCCCCACCATTAAACCATAAAACCCCCTCGTCCTTAACCAATTGCATATTCCCCTTTTACATTTCCCTTTGCCCTCCAGAAATGTAAATCCTTAACATATGTCTCTGTTAAACACATACAAGACTAAACATACAATTTAACAGAGTAAAAGGCAACCAGAGTATAAGTCTATATGTTTTAAATGATTATATGATAGTTTGTCACGACAGTAACCACAAAACATTATAAAACATTTCAAGCCGCTTTGGTTAAGATCGAAATATCTCAGCTGTTTGTCTCTTATAATTAGCTCATTTAAATTGCTCAATTGTTAATATATGATGAATGTTCACATTATACTGAACACCAGCATTATCTTTGTGTTCATTGACTCATTCATTATTGATTGTTGTTGTTTTAATGATTTCATTTGTCTTTCACAGGCTGAGCGGTGCTCTGGTCAGTTTCCACAGCGCTCTGCTCTCCAGTCTGCTCCCTCAGGTAACACATATATAACAAAAGACAAGAGGGAATATCATATCAAATGATATATGATCAAATCAGAATATTAGTAGCAATAATAGTTTTTTTGATCATATTATTATATGTTATTTTATTGTATTTATTTGTATCAATCATAGTTAATTAAGTTATATTATAATGAAATGAAAACCTAGCCATGCAATAAAGTCATTAGGATAAGGAAAAAAGTCAAAGTCAACTTTATTGTCAATCTTTCAGTTTGTGTGTACAGACAGAGAGATCGAAATACCGTTTCCCACAATACAGAATACTATAACAAAGATATATAAAAATATTTATAAAATATGTATATCCTATATATACACAATCAACAGACACATTTATACATATGCACACATTAAAGGGGACCTATCATGCAAAATGCACTTTTGTACGTCTTTTCTACATGAATATGTGTCCCCGGTGTTCCAGGGAACTCACCAAGTGTCAGAAAACACAACCCTCTCTATTTTCCTCCATACCCAAATCTCTAAAAAAGGGGCTGCAACGGATCTGATAAAAACTGATCCAGATTTGAACACTGTCCTGACGTCAGGACGGTGGCGCTACGGCTATTGGGCCAACTCCACCAATCAGGAGGAGACAGCCACGGCCATTGCCGTTCGAAAGTGCTGGAGACGCTGTAGTACATATGCCAGGCCTGTAGGTGGTGCTGTTCTCACTGAATCTGCCCTTGCAAAAACAGGGGTAAAAAAGTGCAAATTGAGCGAAATGAGGCATGGCTAAAATGCATGATCTGTTTGGTATTTTGAAAAAAAAAAAGTATAAATATGCCTTATATAGGTATGGCCCTACACTATATTATTATAATATAGCATGATAGGTCCACTTTAAGATAAAAGCACAACAATCAATATATACAAAATAACAGTCACTTCAATATCTTTGGGAATGTACAAAAATAAAGTTTAGTATCTGAAAACAAAGAGTAAGCATCTCAAAATAGTGATGTTTTAATGAACTGCCTACCCACGTTGCATATTGGTTGTGAGTTCAAATAGACACCCTTCAGATAAACCTAATATCCATCCATCCCTCCGTCAGCTGACCAGCTCCAGGATGGCGGTGAGGAAGCGCTCCATCTTGGCTCTG